ATAGGTATTGCAGTTGCTTGATTAGTACTGTAGAAGCGCTCGCAGGCCTCTGAACACATTCTGCCAGGCCGACTTGTACCCCCACGGCTCCCGCATGCTGGTGTCTGCGGACTACGTCGTGAAGCCTGAATACGTAGTCGCTCTGGCCTGAGCGCAGGCCGCACTGCTTTTGAAGATTTTCCAGAAAATCGGTGTTCGCCAACACCGGCCGCATGTAGTCCTTAAGTCACACCCCCATAAGGGGGCTGTGTTTTCCCAAAAACGAATAGTCTGGCTTGAAGACTAGCTTGAACGCTCACGATGGCCACGCCTCAATCTCGGGATTTGGCTGCCGTCATGGGCAGTTCTAGATGCGGTGCTTTGCGCGGAGCGCAGCCCAGCATTTGTTGAGACATCCTCTGCGGTGACGTCGCTAGACTTGCAATTGCAAGTCCTAGAATTGCGAGTTGGATGCGAGGATAGAGCATGAAATCCCTGCTTGCTTTCACCGTGCTCCACAGGCTTTTGGCCGCATGCTGTTTCTGACTCTGCTCTATACCTACAATGAAATCTCTTCGTGTCTTTGGACCCTCTAGAATTCTTATTCAGTCCTGAGATTCCCATGGTTGCTACACATGTTTAAGGATGTTCCAGACTGAGCTTCTTGAATGAGCATTTGCTGCATCAAGGGACGCACTGCGGGATTGGGATTGCAAATTGCCTGCCATGTCACGGTTGCTAGCGCTATTCTTTGCTGTCGGCGCGGATGCAGCCACCTGCGGTGATCTGAAGGCTTTCTACAAGAGCGAGCAGTGCTGTGGCGCGCCCACCCAGGCACTGTCTGTAACACCACCTGGCTGCCCTTACAACTTTGCCAAGCCCGCTTGCAGCAGCGCGGAGCCTCAGACGCCTCGTGACCTGACGCCGGGCGCGTCCGGCACGATGACACCCAAGGCAGCGACCCTGAACGACGCACAGGCCAACTTCCTCCCGCTTGTGAACGTGCACTTCCACCTGGGTGCTGAGCACAAGTCAGAGTCCTACATGAACTCCACCGATGCCGATGCTTATGATGCGGCATCCTCCGGCCGCCGCCTTGCGGAGAACCCGCGGCCCGGCTTCATGTGCGCTACCGAGAACCTGACTGCTGCGCAGATGGCGCCGTACACCTTTCAGCACTGCAAGGGAGACGTGGCAGTGGGCAAATCCTACGAAATCCACTACGTGCACTCCTCCGCGGGCACGGACGCAGATCCCACAGATGCCATCAACGCAGACCTGCTGGCGGACGGCCTGGGAGGCAGTTGATAATGGCAAG